CAAGGTTTCTCTGTGTATCCCTGGCTGTCCTGGAACTCACTCTGTAGACCAGGCTGGCCTCGAACTCACAGAGATCTGCCTGTTTGTCTCTGCCTTCCAAGTGCTGGGATTAATGGTGTGCATCAACACCACCTGGCTAGACTCCTCCAGTTCTTTGTGGTGCCCGTTTAACTACTCTGGTACCTGTATAAACCTTTAGCTGCTCCCAGGACTAGGAAGATGCGTTCATTAAATGTGAGATTCTTTTCTTTATCCAGCAGTTCCCTCAGGGTTCCATGTTCACAGTACTCCATGACAATGGAGAATTCAGGGGGCTTCACTATGGAAAAGAAGTAGACACCATGAAGATCCAGCCTGACTCTTGACTCCCACAGCCACAAATCCCTTCTCAGCTTCTTCTTATAGAGATACATTCTGCTCTGAAGTGAGCCCCATTTCTCCCCCAGTCTAAAACCAACCTGATTTTAAAATACAAAATCTCATTCTGAAAGAATCTTTAGTGACACTAATTTTCTTAGGTGATGGCTGGGGTGGCTTATTCACCTTGGATGTGTTATTTCTTTCATTTCTGAACTCTAACCTTGGGACCTTGACTTCTAGCCTAACTCTCTTCAACCAGTCCCTTCTACATAATACACAAAGATTAGGTTGGGCTTAGGCTGTGGAGTAATTTCCAGAAGGGGAGTTATTGCTGTCCTCTTTCTAGGCAACAACAGCAAAACTGAACAGCAGGGAAGTCCATACTGTGAGAGAAAACGTAGCCACGTTAACACTTGGTTTTAGCTTAAGGATAAGAAACAATTAGAGTCACATTAAAAAATAAGGGGCTGTCATTCCACGTGGAGAGATGCTGTCTCAGCCTGGACACATGGGGGATGGCCTAGGCCCTGCCCTGGATGATATGACAGAATTTGGGGATCCCCCGTGGAGGGCCTCACCCTCCCTGGGGAGCGGAGAGGGGATGGAGTGGGGATTGGTGGGGGCCAGAGGCGGAGGGGAGGGAGAGGGAGCTGGGATTGACATGTGAAGCAGGCTTGTCTCTAATTTAAATTTAAAAATGGTAAAAAAAAAGGGGGGGGGCTGTATTGATCACAGTACTCAGGAGGCAGAGGCAGGCAGATCTCTGTGAGTTCAAGGCCAGCCTGGTCAACAAAGCAAGTACAAGCTACCAGTGCTACTTAATTAGAACTTATCTAAAAACAATAAACAAAAAGAAAAAAAAGAAAAGAAAAGAAAAGAAAGAGAGAAAGGAAACAAAACATACCCTTGACTCAGGCTAGCATCTCAACAAGGAACCTCTGGGTTCTCAATGGATAGGCAGTAGGAGGCATAGCTGCATTAGTTCAAAGAAGATGGGATCTTATATCTTGGAACACAGAAAATAATGAACATCGGTAATAACCTCACTATTACCATCGAGGGGTTTTGATGTTTTTTTTTTTTCTCTGTCAGAGAATTAAAGGGCAGGAAAAGTCTTGAGTGAGACAGGCAGCAGTGGCAAAAATCTCAAACACAGTAGACAGAATCAGCAAGGGAAGGCTTTCGTTAGGAGCGAGGATGTGTGCATACACACACGCACACACACACACACACACACACACACACACACAAAAGAGAGAAAGAAAGAGAGAGAGAGAGAGAGAGAGAGAGAGAGAGCAAGCATACAGAAAGACCTCCTCTCCCTGCTAATCAGAGATTGGATTTGGGAGTCTGAAAATCCAGTCTTTAAACCAGGGTTGGGGGTGAGAGTGCAGAGTGAGTGCACCTGTGCCCTACTGGTAGGAGAAAAAAAGCCTGCCAAGCCTGTTTTTTTAGGCTTTTGTCTCAGGTCAGGAAAATGAGGAAGGAGCTAGCCATCTTAGAACTTTGTCATCTTTTACCTAGTCATGGCCCCTGTTCCCGGTCTGTGTGCCCATCAGGGAGTCTGTCTAACTCTTCAGCCCTCACCACTACCCTATGAGCTGCCCTTAAGAATGTACCACTCGCCCGGTGGTGGCACACGCCTTTAATCCCAGCACTCGGGATGCAGAGGCAGGTGAATCACTGTGAGTTCGAGACTAGCCTGGACTACAAGAGCTAGTTCCAGGACAGCCTCCAAAGCCACAGAGAAACCCTGTCTTGAAAAACAAAACAAACAAACAAACAAACAAACAAAAAAGAATGTAACACTCTGCGGGGCCTGACCACCTTTCTAAGGCCTAACTCATGGTCATTTTTTCCTTCTCTTTTGTCTTTCTTTCTTCAGGATGCTGGCCACAGCTGAAGTACACTTCCTCTGGCACTTGAACTTTTTTACTGTCTCTAAAGTTCTCCTCCCCACAATGTGGCTGTTTGCCCATCGTGTGGCTGTCTGATTGTCCACCATGTGACGGACCTCCATGCCTAACTTGAACAGCACATCTCTCTCTCTCTCTCTCTATCTCTCTCTCTCTCTCTCTCTCTCTCTCTCTCTCTCTCTCTTTTGTTTTGTTTTTCAAGACAGGGTTTCTCTGTGGCTTTGTAGACCAGGCTGGTGTCGAACTCACAGAGATTTGCCTGCCTCTGCCTCCTAGTGCTGGGATTAAAGGTGTGCACCCCTACTGCCTGGCTAACACAACTCTCTTTCTAACCTCTTAAGTGCTCACCTATGAATCTATAATAACTTCTCTTTAAAGCTCAAAAAAAGTAACACATTAAAACATAGACAGCATCTTCTAAGCAGCCAAAAACTTGACCAGTCCCAGAAGCCTTCTTACCTGTTTCATCAATGCAGATCCCAAATATACGTAAGATATTGGGAGAGTCAAATTTCTTCATGGCTCTGATCTCGTTATTGAAGATGTCCCTCACTATTCTAGGAGAGTGAAAGGAGAAATTAGCATTTGGACTCTAAGGTCCCTCAAAGAATATATAGTATAGGATGGGCTTGAGACACCATCGGAATCGCAGAGTCATCAATGGGCTTGGCTACCAGCCTAACTTCCCAGAAGCAGAATTAGTCCCTAAGCATCGGTGATAAGAATAATAGGATTTGTTCATTTCTTTCTGGTATTTGATAGAATTGTATTTTTTGTGACTTATATGGCAAACTAAGATGTCAGGGTTTTATTACTAGTCACATTTTATTTTAGTGAATATCCTGAAAAAAAACTGTGATAGGTGCCACTTAACCTTTTAGAGCCCGATTTCCCTTGTTTAATAATGGAGAGAATATACCTTTCTCCTTGAGAAGTTATAGAGAATAAGGGTTGATACAGATGGGTCACATACTACAGCTTACCCACTGCCATTTTGGGGTTTGTTGAATACTTTGATGGTAACTGGAGATCTGTGGTACTCTCCTCTGTAAAGTGTGCTGAGGTTATTGTTCTTCAGTAAGGTCCATGGAGATCTGAGAAGATGCTCCTTCCTAATCTCCTTGATTTGCTCCTGTGGGATCTCCTGTGTGGGTGTCAGTGAGCCTGAGACAGAAGGAGATAAAAAGTCAGTCTGCTAAGAGGGTTTTGTAAGGGAAGTGGCCTCTTTGTGATGTGAGGGGGAGGCTTCACACCATGAACCAAAACTGGTCCTGGCTGGAGCTTCTGGTGGACCCAACTCAGGGTAGAGGGTCCTCTATGTCTGAGTTACATGTTCTACCATTGAGCTATGTCCCTGGTCTCCTTTTCCAATCTTACCTGTCTTTCCAGTTTTAATGCAAGCCTCTCTCACCTCAGAGTTCTCCTTACTTCTGTTGCCACACAGCTTGGTGCTAGGTACCTGGCATCATGTTGAGTGATTTCAGATCAACTAAAGACACAGTTCAAGTTCAGTAACTATACTGCTGGCAGTTGTGTTTCCTCCTGGATTGATACATTTTCTTCCTCAGAAGTTCCTGAAGCTCACAGGAAACTTGCAAGGCTGAGGAAGCTCAAGAAACATACAGGACTCACAGAAGTCTCTGCATAGTAAACCCTTGCTGGTTGAGAGAAGACTCTTGTGGAGGAGACCAGTGATCCAACTTTCTCAAGTTCTTGCTCATGCAATTGTGGGAAGCTTTTAGGTTATTCAAGTGCCCAAGATCACCTATACTCCCACCAGTACCTTCTCACCCATTCTCCTGAAAGTAATGATAATACTTTGGTTCACCAACATGGAATTGAACCATCCTTTTGTCTGAGTGCCAGCTAGTTTTATGCCAACTTGACACAAGCTACAGTCATTTTGGAAGAAGGAACCTCAGTTGAGAAAATGTTTGCACCAGATTTGCTTATGGTACATTTTCTTGTTTTATGATTGACGTGGGAAGGTCCAGCTAACAGTAGGCAGTGCCACTCCTGGACTGGTGGTCCTGGGTGTTATCAGAAAGCAGGCTGAGAGAGCTATGAGGAGCAAGCCAGTAGGCAGCAGCCCTCTATCACTTCTGTCTGCTTTGGTTTCTGCCTCTAGGTTCCTGTTTTGAATTCCTGTCTTGATTTCTCTTAATGATGGAGTGTGACTTGAGAGTAGTAAACGCCACCCCCAACTTCCTTTTGGTCCTGATGTTTTATCACAGCAAGAGAAATTAAGACAGTGTCTTTTCCATCTCCATCTAAGGTAATAGAAATAGATTTCCAAGGAAGGCAAGGGAGATAACTCAGTCAGTAAAGTGTTGCCACAGAAGTGTGAGAAACTGGGTCAGATCTCTAGAATCCATGTAAAAGATGGGCAGGGTGGTATATGTACTTGTAACCCCAACACTAGGGAGGTGGAGATAAGTGAATCCCTGGAGTTTGGTGGCCAGAAAGTTTAGACTAATTGATGAGCCCTCTGTGAGAGACTGTCTCAAAAACAAAATAGATGGCTCTGGAGGAATAATACTTGAGTTTGACCTCTGGATCCCATGAGCACGTGCATACATGGGCACACATAGGAACATACAGTCCCACAAGAAATGCCATACAACACGTTTACACTGTCCCTCTGTCATCTCTTCTCCTTTACCACTAAGGCATGAGCTTCTGGCAGCCAGTGTCAGCCACCTTTGAGTACAGTCTCTGGAATAAAACAATATTTTTATAGTTTTATTGAATTCGTGAGTATACAAATGAGCACCTTAAATTTTATTCAAATTTCTTGTGTGTGTGTGTTTGTATGTGCACACAGTGTGCATACCTGTGCAGGTATTCATGTCTGTACTCATGTATGTGGAGGTCAGAGGTGGAAATCTAAGTGTCTTTCTCTATTGCTTGTCACCTTTTGTATTTTTTAAATTTTTATTTATTTTTATTTTATGTGCATGACTGTGTACCTGCATATCTGTATGTACACCATATGCAGGGCCTGAGAAAGCCCCAAGAAGTCATCACATTCCCTGGAACTGGAGCTACAGGTGACTGTGAGCCACCTTATGGCCGGTTGGCACTGGAACTGAATCTGGGTCCTCTGCAAGAGTAGTGAGCATTTTTAACTGCTAAGCCACCTCTCCAGCTCCCATTCACCTTAGCTTTGAGAAAAGATCTCTCACTCACTTTGTAGCTTGCTAACTGGCTGGCCAGTGAGCCTAGAGATACTGTCTCCTCCTTCCAGTGTTGAGATTCCAGGTATATGCCATCCTGCCTGGCTTTTTACAGAGATGCTGGGGATCCAAGCAGGTCCTCATGCTTGTGCAGCAAGCGCTGTACCCACTGAGCCCTCTCCAAAGCCCTTGATTTGAATTTCTTATGGACAATCAGTAAATGAATTGAAGCTTTGATGCTGCTACAGTTTGGATGTCCCCAAAGGCCCATGTGTTAAAAGCTCAGTCCCCAGGATGGTGCTATTGGGAGGTTGGTGGAAACTTTAAGATGGGGACAAATGGTGGGACCTCACTCTCTTCCCCATTCTGTCTTCTTTTGCTTCTTGTCCATCAGATGATTGTTTATGCTTCATCCCATGTGTCTACCTGATAAGCTGCCCTGCCACAGACTCAAAAACAATGGGGCTAATAACCAATCATGGACTGAATATCTTCAAAACTGTACGCCTAAGTAAACTACCTCTCTCTCTTTCTTTTTTTTTTAAAGATTTTTTTTTTAAGATTTTATTTATTAAGTATAGTCTCTATCTGCATATGCCCTGCACGCCAGCAGAGGGCACCAGATCTCATTCAAGATGGTTGTAGCCACCCCATGTGGTTGCTGGGAATTGAACTCAGGACCTCTAGAAGAGCAATCAGTGTTCTTAACCTCTGAGCTATCTCTCCAGCCCACTATCTCTCTCTCTAAGCTACTACCTTGGGTATTTGTTACTGTAACAGAAACTTGATGGATGTAGATGCTATTCATGGAGGAAATAAATTATTAGTATACTTACTTTACCACTCTTTTTAAAAGTTATTTTTATTTTGTGTTTTGAGATAGGGTTTCACTGTGTAGCCCTGGATGTTCTGGTACTCACTATGTAGAGCAGACTCACCTCGAAGTCAGAAATGCCTCTGCCTCCAAAGTGCTGGGATTAAAGGCATGCGTCACCAGGCCTGGCCTATTTAGTAAAATGCTATGGTTTCTTGCTGGTCAAATGCTACTTCACAGATAAAAGCCTGGGTAAACTGTGGCCACATCCCCAAACCTGTGAGCTGCTTCCAGTGCTACCCAGCAGAGAAAGTGGAGCAGGGCAGTCGTAGAGAGGCTGGAGTTCCTAACAACAGGTGACTTCTTATTTGGGAGCATTCATTGCAACAAGGAACGTGGCAACTTACGTCGTTTCAGAATTTCCTTGATTTCTTCCATGCCAATACTTATATTCTTCAAGATAGCTAGGGTAGGGTCATTTCTGCATGAAAAAGGGGCAACACATATAAGTGCAAAACACAAACTATATGTGCATCAAAACCAAAATGCTAATGAAAACCACCAAGGTGACAGATTTTTAAACTCTAAATAATCATTGGTAGGAAATACAACTGTTAATATTCATCTTTCTATTTTCAAACACATAGGAGATACCCTGAAAGCTTAGCTGTGTGGACCTACGTGGTCAAGAAAGTAAGTGAAAGAGATGTGTTTTCAATCTGGACTGTCCCCACAGGCTCGTGATTTGAGCATTGGTCCCCAGTGAGTGGCACTATTTTGAAGGCAGTGGAGCCCTCAGAAGGCTGAGCCTGGTTGGCAGCAGTGAGTCACTGTGGGTGAGTCTGGCCTGCTTTTTCTGCCTCCTAGTCTACCATGATGTGAGGAGCCTCGGCTACATACTTCCACTGCCAGAGAACTGCTCCATTCCTTTCCTGCTATGATGCTAGAAAACACTTTGAATTTATGAACCCAGGTAACTCTTTCCTCTCTTAAACTGCTGATGGGAAGCTTTTCAGTGAAGTATTTTATTGACTCTGTCCAAGGTCCCAACCTAGCCGCTTTGGGAGTGGGAAATTTGTATCAACAAAGAAGTGCTAGACTACTCAAAGTATCCCACCGAGGAGGCATCTTGCAGGGTCTCATGTACTTTGCTTAAATGAGAAATAAACTTATTTCTATAAAACACTGAACTGCTAGTGCTTGAAGATTTATTTTTTATTTATGCATAAGTGTGCATGTGTCTGCGTGAATGTATGCCAAGCATGTGTATGTCTGAGTAGGTCAGAAGAGGTTTTTTTTTTTGATCCCCTAGAACTAGAGTTACAGGCAGCTGTGAACTGCCCAACATGGATTCTGGGAACCAAACTTGGGTCGTCTGGAAGAGCAGGAAGTGCTCTTAACAGCTAAGCCATCTCTCTTGTCCTGGTCAGTGCCTTTTTATTTACAGCATAAATACATTATATTCTGCATAAATTCTCACCTAGGACTGAGGAGTTCTGTGGATTTGAGATCTTTAGTCTCTAATGGGAAAAAACTAGAAAACAATGTTTTTTTTTTTAAATCTGTGCTTGATAAAATATATAGCCTCTGTAGATGGCAATTTAGCAATCTCTATCAAAATTAAAAACATTCATTGTCTTTAACCCATCAATTCCACTACTGGGACTATCATACAAAGATGCTCACTGTGAAATTATAACAGTGAACAACTGGATATAATTTACATGTTCAATATATCTGGTCCATGTATACCAAGGAATATGAGAGAAGTCTATGGAAATTTATTTGGAAGAATACTCTAGATTATCTATTGAGAAGAAGAATCAGAAAATGTACATGTTAATCTCCAGAGGACTGGGAGAAGATGGTACAAAGCGAGAGTGTGTCTGAGATGTAAAAGAATTCCCTTGAGATCAAGGATGATGGGGAGATTAACTCCTTATGTTGGGCCTCCCTCCCCCTCCCCCTCCAGAAAGAGTCTCACTATGTAGCTTTGGCTGTCCTGAAACTAATTATGTAGACCAGGATGGTCTTGAACTCACAGAGATTCCCCCTGCCTCAGCCTCTCAAGTACTGAGATTAAAGACATACACTTCTATACCCAGCTATTCTGGACCTTCTAAAACTCTTTTGAATGTGATACCATGTGACTGTATCACCCATACAGAAACCTAAAGGGCAGAGCAGGAAGTCCTTCCTGTCTTCCAGGTAATGACTTCCACATTGTTCCTGTCACCTCAAAGAGGTAAACCAGCATTTTCTGATGATTAGAAAATTTGGAAGCCAATCCTGCCCTCTAGTCAAGTCAACATTTTTATTCTACCATAACACCCATCCTCCCTGATTTCTAATTTTCTTTCTGTTTGATGGTCGGTGATGACTGGGTTACAGATATCTTAGTTTCTCTTATTACAAAAAAGAACTCATTTGCTTAAGACCCTCCTCACTTGCCCCACTTAGATGTCTCCTGTTTACTTGGGCATGGATCACCCCCCGCCCCATATCAAAGCAATAGGCCAGTTACTTGTCTGAGCTCAAGCATCTAAAAGGTATCTATGTGTTCCTCTGTCCTAGTTTGCTCACTGTTACTGTGACAAACATCATGACCAGGAGTAACTTGAGGAGGAAAGCGTTTCTCGTTTATTAGTTACCTACTACAGTCTCTCATTCAGGGAAGTCAGGGCAAGGGGCTCAAGGCAGGAGCCTGGAGGCAGGAACTGCAGCCAAGACCATGGAGGAACACAGCTTACCGACTGGTGTACTTTCCATGACTTGCTCCATGACTTGCTTTCTTGTACAACCCAGGACCACCAACCCAGGGGTGGCCCTGCTCACAATGGATTGGGTCCTCAATCATTTATGAAAAAAATTCTTCACAGACTTTCTACAGGCTAATGTGATGGAGCATTTTTCTCAGTTGAGGGTCCTTCTTCCCAGATGACTGGAGGTCGTGTCAAGTCAACACATCTCCTTGCTCCCTTTCTCTCTACCCAACTCTTACTATTGGGTTTACAGACTCTTCTGTGCTTTCTCTATCAAAGAATGCAGGTCATTCCCCCAGCATCTCCCTCTCAGACAGAGTTGATAACCCCTCCTCCACCCTTGCTGCTCTAGGATACATTTATAGTCCTCCCTCATTCACTCCTCTACACCCCTTGGCACACGGGCTATGCCAGGCTAAGTCACACGATGCTATTGTGGGAACTCTACTAGTGATCTGTCACTAAAAGGCCTCATGATGGCTATCTTTGGCAATCAGCCTGTAATTTGCCTGACAAAAAGTTAATCTTGTATCAGCTTCCTTTCCTACAAACCTCTTATCTTTTAGCTAACCACATTTGGGGTTCATATCTCTGGGTCATCATAAGTCTAAGAAGGTCATAATTGTTTCCATGTTTCCCTTATCTGTCCTCTCCTGGTGACCTATGATGGGGGGTGTCCTTCTGTATATATGTTTCTATTATTGGTTGATGAATAAAACACTGATTGGCCAGTAGCCAGGCAGGAAGAATAAGCAGGGATATAGCACCAGGAGAATTCTGGGGAGAGGAGAGAGAGGGAAGCCCCAAGAGAGATGCTATGTAGCTGATAAAAGAGTAACATGCTGGAACATTCTCTGGTAAGATAAGGCCATGTAGAAATGCATAGATTAATAATTATGGGTTAATAATTAAGAGAGATAGTCAATAAGAAGCCTGAGCCATCAGCCAAACAGTTTATAATTAATATAAGCCTCTGTGTGTTTATTTGGGGCTAAACAGCTGTAGAACCAGGTGGGACAGAAACTTCATCAACAGGCCTAGGCTCAACTCTTGCACTCTACCTCCAGCGTAGCCCATGTCTCACTTCTTTAGAGCCTGACCCTCTGTGATGTTCAAGGAGGGCCATTCTAGTTCAAGATATTGTTAACTCATCTACCCGTAATGTGGTCTCCTAACTCATTCCTGCTTCCTTTCTGATTCTCAGGTAGGTTGAATTATTGGCTCTAGTTATTGACTTCCAGGAAGTAGCCATATACAGCCATAGCAACATAGAGAGCAAACTGTATGCCTTTGTCTCTTCATGCTGAGCTTTGCTAGATGGCTTGTTTAGTGGATGTGGCACAAGAAAAAGCTTGAAACACAATAGTTCAGTTAGGGTCTCCTTCCTGCAATTCTACCACAAGGGCATTCTTGTTTCTGCATGGTTAGCTCCTTCTCCTTGGTCAAGGTGTCCATTCAAATGTCTGTCTTGTCTGTTCTTTCTGAATCATTGTGTATCACCACTCTACATAGTGGCTTTCATGGGCTTTAGAGAAAATTAGCTTTCTATCAGCAGACTTTACATTCCATGAGGTCAGAAATGTTATCTGTTTTGTTCTGTGCTGTATCCCTAAGGTTTAGAACAGTGCCATGCATGCTGTACCCAATACATGTTCTCTTAGTTTGCTTTATTAAATTCTTTTATTGGACAATCTTCACTTTAAGCAAGAGTCCCATAAGGCTGTAAGATATGAATTTGGATTCCAGATATTACATCAAAGAGTGAATGGAGAAGCCAAGGAGACTCACAAGCAGGTAACAATGTGCCCCCCCCTCCCATAAGGGCTTCACCAGATTTTACCAGCCTCTATCATACAGTAGGATTTCTAAGTCACAAGTATACACAACTGTTCAAATTCCTCCATCATTCCTCTCCTTTGGCAAATCAAAGTGAGGCTAAGATGTTCCTTGATCCCATTTGTTCCTCCACTCCATCCCCAACTTATTCTTTCTCAGCTTTTGGAATACTCACCTATCCTCCTCTGCATCCTGTTGATCTTCCTGTAGCCAGGAGGCCCTTTGGCTGACATTTGGAGCAGAGTTCCGTTGATCAACCTGGAGCAGCAGCAATAGCTCCTCCCAGACATCTCCCAGCTTCTCATTCACTTCAAGGAAAAGTATCTTGTCATTGCCCGAAGTCACAAACTTCCACAAATTGGACTTATTGCTGAACTTTTCTATCTGCTGCCTTGCCTCCTCCAGGACAGCCTCAAAACGGCCCAGGGCAGCAATTATGTCATCTGGCAGGTTGTCCACTCCTTGGGTCTTGAGCCTCTGGAGAGGCAGTAGCAGACCTTGTATGCGTTTCCCTAGACGTTTGCATTGTTTCCGGCAGTACTTCATCTCTTCACACTTTTTATAGATGAGATCGCCTAAGGCGATGATCTGTCCCAATTTATCCATACCTGAAAGACCCATAGATTGAATGAAATCCCACAATCCCCAGTGTATTTATTACTCGGCTAATTGAGGGTCAAGGGTATCTATGATCTCAGTGCTAGAAAGGGGATCCCTCCATCATGTAAGGTAGAGACAGCTTGCTGTCTGTCAAATCTATTCTGTCCTTGTAACGGAGCTTGAACTGGGACGCATTGGTCAGCTTGCACTATATCTTCAGCCGTTTGCAACTCGGTGAGGCTATGTGATTAGCACCTAAATATGGGTTTCGAGTGGATGGGATTTGTGCTACTTTAGGATGAGACAGGTTTACAAATAAGGTCTCAGGGATACTGGTACCCTAAAGAAAAGATCCTGGGTTCCTGAATAATTGCTTGGAGGAAAACTGACATTTTTACCAGGATTTCTGCTATGAACTGCGATTGAAGATGCAGTTTCAGTTGTCTGGAAGCCATTATATTTTAGGGTATTTTGGTCATATTATATAGCCTATCTTAACACAGATGTCCTTTTGAGGTATTGGAAATACCTCCAGGGCCAAGTGGGCAACTCAAACAAGTGGTGCTGAAATACCAGCACCCAGGAAAGCTGAGACAGAAGGACCACAAGTTCAAGGCCAGTCCCAGCTACCTCCTGTCTCCAAAAAAAAATTCAAAATTGAAATTATAGCTCAGTGGTAGTGTTTGGTCAGCATCGGCTGAGGCTCTGAGTGTGAATGATCCTGGGCACAGCTTGAAGAGAAGCTCCTGGGGCTGGGAGATGGCTCAGTGGTTAAGAGTACATGCTGCTCTTGCAGAGGAGATTCAATGTCCTCTTCTGATCTCTGCAGGCACCAGGCACACACGATGCACATGCATGCATACATGTATACATACATACAAAACATTCACACACAAGAAATAATATGACAAATCTAAAAAAGAAAAATAGACCGGAAAAGCTTCCTTTTAGTTTATCTTTCACTTCTCCATTTTGGTTTTGTTTTGAGACAGGCTCTTGCTATGTAGCTCAGAACGACCTTGACCTCTCCACTCTTGTGTTTTATTATCCCGGTACCTCGCCGTTTTTTTTTAACGGATGGAAGAGTCCAGTCATTCACATCCTTTCTTCAAATCTTGTAGGAAAAAGACACAAACTGGCCCTTGGGCTCATGGGAAACCACTCGGGCTCCGTCTGAAAATATGGAGACGTTACTCAGCAAATTGACACCCGCTGTTCTGCAAGGATAAAAGATCTCTCGGTTTCTAATGAGCAGCCAGGCATCTGGACTTTGATGTCAGACATCTTGATTGTAAATCTTGCAAGCAAGCCCAAGAGTGCTTCCTTTCAGTCTATAAAGTGCTTGCTGAACAAACCCGAAGGGCTGAGTTTGGATCCCCAACACCAATGTAGAGTTCCAGATGTGGTGGTGCATATCTGTAACTCTGGCTCTGGAAGGCCTGATCACACACACACACACACACACACACACACACACACACACACAAAACAAACAAACAAACAAATATGTAGAAAATAAAGTGGAAAGTGATCAGGAAGGCATCTGACCTTGTGTACCCCACACTTATGTACCTCACACCACATGCATACAGATATTCACTTCACACACATACACACATTTTTTAAAAGTGTGCAGTCAAACATTACATAGACCAAATACAACATGTCTGCCAAAGGAACACTCCCAGTCCTGATTCACCACCTTAACTACAGTTGGCCTAGGCAATGGAAATCAACTCTGGGAGGCTAAGACTGGAGGGTTTCTGTGAGTTTGAGGCCAGCATGGACTATAGTGTGAGATCTGTCAGTCTCAAGTTTTTTGTTTTTTTTTTTTCATGTCTTTCCCTGTGTTGCATATACATGCATAACACTCATACACTGAAAATAAAATAAATCTTAAAAAATAAAAAGCAACTGGGCACCTGGGCCAAGCTGGGTGGAGAGAATGTTTGCTAAGTAAGGGCCTCACTCCTGAGAGAGCCCAGGAAGCCAAATGTTTCCCCCCCACCTGTCTCCCTCTCTCTTTCTATGCATACAAGTGAAAAGCCACAGAGCCTTATCCTACAGCTTATAATGAAGCTCACATAAGAATGATAGAAAAACAGAAGATTCTGAATTGATGACAACATCGAGCCACTAGTTTAAACTGATGCTGAAATCTATGTCACCTCTATCTACAGGTTTCAACCTTCCTTCTTCTATCTTTCCTGATCTTTATTTTTATTTTTTTTTTAATGTGTACAGGATTTTGCCTGTCTATGTATCATGTGCATGAAGTACCTTTGATGGCCAGAAGATGGCACCATCAGCTCTTTGGGATTAGATTTACAGATGGTTGTGAGCTGCCTTGTGGGTGCTGGGAATTGAACCTGGGTCCTCTGGAAGAGCAGGCAGTGCTCTTAGCTGCTGAGTCATCTCTCTAGTCACTCAGCCTCCCTTCTTGTTGAAGCCAGTTTTGAATCATGCTCTACTTGAACCAAAGGAAACAAGAGTCCAGAATGAATGAGAATTGCCATAGCAATAAATCTTTTCACTTACAACATGCTAAGTGCTTCAGAAACACAGTTCCATCCTCATCTGCAATTCATGAAGATGCTGTTCAAATGAGTTCAAAGCCCAGAAACAGACCCAGAAGGAATTTTTGTTTTTGTTTTTGAGGCAGGATCTCCCTATGTAGTCCTAGAATTTAGCAAGTAGATCAGGCTGGCCTCCAACTTACAGAGATTCTCATGCCTTTGCATCCTAAATGCTGCAATTAAAGGCATGCACCACTATGCCTGGCTTCAAAAGCACTTTAAATTTTTTTAGATTTATTTATTTTGGGCTGGAGAGTTGGCTCAGTGGTTAAGAGCACTGGCTGTTCTTCCAGGGGTCCTGAGTTCAATTCCCAGCACCCACATGGCAGCTCACAACTGTCTGTACCTCCAGTTCCAGGGAATCTGATACTCTCACACAAATATACATGCAAAGAAAATACCAGTGAACATAAAATATAAACAAAAATAAATAAATCATTAAGTTTTTAAAGTTCGTTTATTTTTATTTTATGTATATGGGTGTTTTGCTTGCATGTATGTCTGTGTACCACATATATGCAGTGCCCTTGGGTGTCAGATCCTCTGGAAGTGGAGTTACAGAAGGTTGTTGGCTACCATGTGCTTGGTAGGAATCAAACCTAGGTTCTGGGAGAGCAGCCAATGTTCTTAACTGCTGAGCCATGTCTCCAACTCTCAAAAATACTTAAAATCATAGCAATCTTCTCAATGGCCTAGTGAAACAGGTCAAGAACTACCTTGTCAAAATTTAAAACAACAGAAAAGAGTTATCTTGGGGACTAGATGAGATAGCTCAATAGTTAGGAACACTTACTGCTCTTGCAGAGGACCTGAAATGGTTCCTAGCACCCATGTTGGTCAGCTCACAACTACCAGCAACTCAGTCTCCAGGGGATCTGAGCCCCACAGGCACCTGCACACATGTGGGGCACACACACATACACTCATGAAAGAAAGGAATAAATCCACTCACAGATCAGATAACAACTTGGAGAAAATAATTCCCCAGAACCCCCATCTGCTTTTAAAACATGAATCAAAAAACGAAACCAAATTGTCAAACTGAAACTAAGTATTGGCAATCCACAGGTTTTGTTTTCCTAGTCCACAGGATTCCACTAAACTGAGCAGGAGGCACAGGTACTCTTTGACATCTAAGCCACTGCTCCAGCCTGTTAGGGTACTCTTAAAGAAAATCAATAGATCTCGGGGCCCAGCCATTCCCAGATGCCAAGCATATGTCTTCAGGACTCTTTCATGGACATATGGGAGTAAAGGTGAAAAATCTGGAAGTAGTAGTAACAATATTAATTTACTCTAAGTCCTCCTCCTCCATTAAAAATATCAGACGTATCTGGGTTTGGGGCTCACAACTTAAATTCAGTACTTGGGAGGCACAGACAGATGCCTGTAGGAATTCAGGGCCAGCCTGGAGCACACAGTGAATCCAGGCCAGCCATAGCTACACAGTGAGACATTGTCTCAATAAAATAAATAAAGAGTCTAAAAAAAAAAAAAATCTGCAAGGCATTTTCCCCCATGCCTTTAATCCCAGCACTTGGGAGGAAAGGGCAGAGTTAGACCAGCCCGATCTACAGAGCTAGTTCCAGGACAAACTCCCAAAACACAGAGAAAACCCCTCTCAAAAAAAAAAAAAAAAAAAAAAAAAAAAAAAAAGTCACAAACCCCTTTACAAACATTACATCAGATTGCTTCACCCTTGCATGAAATGAGCCTTAGAAAAGGCACTGGAATCCAGTTGGGCGGTGGTGGTAGTGCATGCCTTGAATCTCAGCACTCGAGAGGCTGAGGCAGGCAAATTTCTGAGAGTTCCAGGCCAGCCTAGTCTACAAAGCAAGTTCTAAGACAGCCAGAACTATACAGAGAAACACTGTCTCAAAAAACAAAAAAGCAAAATAACAAAACAAACAAAGCAAAAACAACCCGAATCTTCTGCCCTGGAAATAGACAGTCCTACTGCCTACCACTTACTCTTAAAACTTCAGCACCTGTGCCAGATCCCCACCCTTTGCCCCTCCTCAAATCCCATTCCTCCATTCGGTCCTGCTTTGGCAGAGATCTTAGCAGACAGACAGCCCCTCCAATAGAGCCAGAGAATCGAAAGCAACTCACCCCTGAGTTCCAGGAAGTCCAATCTGTGATTCTGTAGTTCTGTCGCTTCCTCTAGCCACCACTCCCGGCTCACTGGACCCTGCCGGATCACCCTCGTGGTCCCGGGCGAGGGGGATGGGGTCGGCGATCGCCCCCTCTATCCTATGAGCAATTGCAGTAGGATTAGTGCCCCGCTGCTCCCGGACCACGGTCTTCTGCCTAGCTGAGAACACACGCCAGGCGGGAGCAGGTCCCGGGGCTCTAGAGCCTCTTCCCTCGGGTTCAGCCTCTGCGCTCCCGGTGTTCACGAAGGACTCCACACAGGCCGCTGTTCCCGCCGAAAGTCAAAGCCCGGCCGACTCAACCAATGCCGCAGAGTTGTCCTCCCGACCAACCTGTTGGACAGCGTTCTCCTCCGGAAGCCCGTGCCTGGTTGACACTCCTCCTCCAGGTTCCTGCGAGACTTCTGCTGGTGATGTGCCAACTTCCTACACCCTCTTTCTGGACAGCTCTCAGCGGAAGCTCCTACCCGGCTCTGGTCCTTTCCCCAAATCCATTAAATAGCAACTCAGAGTACTCCCAGGCCCACTGCTTGGAGCCTCGAATTTAGGGATTGAAAGAATAAGGTTACAGGGAACCCTGATAACCATTGTATGGGATGTCCTGGAAGTTCAGTAAAATAAAAATAAAATAAAATAAAAAAGTCAAGCAGATGGGATGGCTCAGTGAGCCTGATGACCTCAGTTAAGGTGGAAGCAGAGAACTCACTCCTCCAAGTTGTCCTCTGACCTCCACATGTGCGAAGGCCCTGGCACGCAAATGCACCCCCCCCACATGCACACCAAACACAGTAAATAAATAAAAATGGGAATAAATCCTAGAAGTATGGAGGATACTTCTTACATGTGCTTTGTGCTGGATAATCCTGGGGCAGGGGGTGGGGAGTGGTGGAAGGAGGGTAAGGGTATAGGAGGCTACCCAAGTAGGGGGAAGTAATTTCTTTTTTTCTCTAACGTCATCTCAAAACTTTGTTACAGTTCAAGTTGAGTTTTATTAAAGTCAGTTATACCTCCAGTTAGTCTGTATAAGAAATGCCATTTGTTCACTTACTGAGGCTGTATGGCTGGGAAAGTATAGAAATGGAAATAGAGGGGCTGGAGAGATGGTTAAGAGCTCTGGTTGCTCTTCCAGAGGCCCTGAGTTCAATTCCCAGCAACCACATGGTGGCTCACAACCACCTGTAATGAGATCCGTGCCCTCTTCTGGCCTGCAGGCATATATGCAGGCAGAACACTGTATAAATAATAAATAAATCTTAAAAAAAAAAGAAACAGGAAATAGAAATTGTATGGTGGCCTTAGTTAGGGTTTTTATTGCTGTGAAGAGACACCATGGCCACAGTACTCTTATAAGAAAAACATTTACCTGGGGAGTTTACTTATAGCTTCAGAATTAAGTAAAGGAATCTTTTCCTACTAAGAAAATTCTGGAAATATTTTAAGTGAGTCTAATGGGATTTGTGTGTGTGTGTGTAAGCCAGAAGGTGACATCAGGTGTCTTCCTCAATTGCATCACCATCTTATGTTGTTTTAAATTTTAAGTTATTATTTTGTGTGTTTGGGCATGTATGAGTAGGTATTTTGCTTGTATATATGTGTGTGTACCATTGCATGCAGTGCCTCTGGAAGCCAGAGAGAGTGTCAGGTCTCCTGGGACTGGAGTTACAGATGGTTATGAGGGTCATATAGGTGCTGGGAATTGAATCTGGGTCCTCTCTCTAGAAGAGTAGCCAGTGCTCCTAACCACTGAGTCATTGCTACAGCCCCCCACCTTATTATTTTAAAAACGTTAATATATATATATACACACACATATATATATATATACATATATATGTGTGTGTGTGTGTGTGTGTGTGTGTGTGTGTTTTGCCCATGTATGTATGTACACCCCATGAATGACTTCAAAGGTCAGCACAGGACAGGACAGGACATCAGATCCCCTGAACTGGAGTTAACAGACAGTTGTGAGCCACCATGTGGGAACCCAGGTCCTCTGGAAGAGCAACCAGTGCTCTTAACTGCTGAGCCATCATCTCTCCAATCCTCATCACTTTATTTTTTGGTACAGGAACGCTCACTGAACCTGGAGCTCACTATTTCAATTGGACTGGCTGGCCAGTGAGCTTTAGAGCTGGAGTTACAGATGCAGGTTCTGGATCAAAGTTCAGGGCTTCGTGGTGCAGTGTTTGCAATGCAAGCATGAGGACACTGAAAACTACAAATCATCATTGAAAAGAAATTGCAAAGCTGTAGGAGCAAACACGTGGCTTTCCTCCCCCATCCACTGACTTGCTCCTTCTCCTCTATTTGGAGAACAGGGCAAAATAATAAGCAAAAGAGCACACTGCTGCTATCGAAGATCAGCCTCCGCAGGTGCTGAGAGGATGGAATGCAGCACTCAGATTGGAAGAGCAAACAGAAGAAGTCAGCACATCTCATATCCTGGTGTTTCATGTCTTTGAGTGTCTATTTCTTCTACAGATTGTTTCTTTAAATCCTTCTGTGCTGGCTAGTTTTATATCAACTTGGCACAAGCTAGAGTTATCTGAAGGGAGGGCACCTCAGCTGAGAAAACACTTTCATAAGATCTGGCTGTAGGGCTGCAGAGATGGCTCAGAGGTTAAGAGCACCGACTGCTCTTCCAGAGGTCCTGAGATCAATTCCCAGCAACCACATGTTGGCTCACAACTATCCGTTATGAGATCTGGGGCCCTCTTCTGGTGTGCCAGACATACATGGAAGCAGAATGTTGTATACATAATAAATAAATAAAATTTAAAAAAATCTGGCTGTCAGGCATTTTCTCAATTGATGATTGATGGGGGAGGGCCCAGTCCATTGTGGATGTTGCCATCCCTGCTGGTGGTCCTGGGTTCTATAAGAAAGCAGGCTGAGCAAACCACGAGGAGCAAGCCAGTAAGCAGCACCCCTCCATGGCCTCCGCATCAGCTCCTGCCTACAGGTTCTTGCCCTGTTTGAGTTTCTGCCCTGACTTCCTTCATTGATGAACTATTACCTGGAAGTGTAAGACAAATAGACACTTTCCTGTCCAAGTTGCTTTGGTCATGGTATTTCATAACAACAATAGAAATTCCAACTAAGACACCTTCCCTAAGGTAGTTCTTCTTTAATTACACTAAATTTTTTAATTTTAAAGATTTTGTTTTGTATTTTTGTATAGCGTAGCCAGAAGCCAAACAGATGGGGCTATTCAACCTTTTACTTTCAGCCCCCAAAACAGTGAGTAAAATAAACCTACACACAAACACACACACACACACACACACACACACACACACACATACACACACACATTGGTTTTCTAAAACATGATTTTTCTGTGTAGCCCTAGATGTCCTGGAACTTGCTTTGTAGACAAGACTGGCCTTCAACTCACAGAGATCTGCCTGCCTCTGCCTCCCAAGTGCTGTAACTAAAGGTGTGCACCACCCACCACCTAGCAAGCCTCTTTTTTTTTTTTTAATAAAGTACCTACTCTCAGGCACTTTGTTGTAGCGACATTAAATGGACTAAGACAGCTGTTTGATAGGGAGTAATAAGTAAAGATAGATGATGCCCTTGAAGACAATCTTCTGGAGCCACTGGAGGGAGGGGGTGGCATCTTGTCTTCAAATAGATAAGCCTGGCAGGTGTTCTCTGTGCTTCTTGAAGTTAACTCTCACAGGCCAAACACCTGTGAAGAAACCGCCAGCCACTGGCTGTTTGGAAACCCATACAACAGTGTTCCTCCTTAAACAGGAAATGAGACAGGTATGTCAGTCGAGAGAACAGATGGGAAAATGCTAGAATTTTAAAATTAACTACACCTGTGGTTTCCAAACAGCACTCTTGAGGACTCTCACATGAGGCAGGGCTGCATGTTGTCACCAGAGGGCAGCAGAGGCCAGGGACCAGAAGAAGAGGCAAAAAGCTAATGTTACCAAGCAGAGATCTGGTAGAGACAAGGCTGACTTATATTGGGCATGGCTATAAGTTGGTTATTGTTCTGGGCAGAAGGAGAAAGCATACAAAGCTCAAAGGCAGAGATCAGAGTCAAGAGCTAAAGTAAGAATGCAATAGAACATAATTAAAGGGGCAGTTCTTCCAGCCATCCAGGAAACACCCAAAGACAGTAGGTCTGGGGAGTGCAAACACGTGACAAACAGAAACAAGGTGGCCCTGAGTCCCTCCCTGGCAAGGCACTAGGTGTTTGATAGAGAATCAGAAAAGGGAAATTTCTAGATCATTAAGAGTCAAGCTGTGATCCCCACCCCCTGATCAGAATTTAAATAGTTCTTTTGAGTAAGCTTCCTTTTCTGCTGGGTTGACAAATTGTTTAAATGCTATTGCCCTTGGCTACCCAGCATAACTACATGGTAAGACCCTATTGCTGGAGACACCACACAGTTTGGCTGCAGAACATAGATCAGTCTCAAACCAACAATAAACTTCCTCCCTGCAGGCTGGTTGCCATAGTGACTAAAGGTTACTGAGAAGAAAAGACATCAATGGCCTTATCAAGGTCTGGACACTACGTGCTGTAATACCAACCTGCCAGGAAAGATATGCCTATTGGAGCAATAGTGGTATGATTGTTATGGAGTAACTAACTGATTTCTGATTGGATTTGAAGCCTGTTTCACCGGAGGGAATTTCATACCTGCTACTGTAATCCTGGTCAAAGCTGAGGAGGTCACAGGCCCTAGGGTAGAATCTGCTATTGTTATTTTGATAACTGATCATGCCATCAAGTTACCTTCTAAATGTTCATGTTTATATTTGTAGACCAGGGCTGCTCTCAGCCTTGGTCAGAGAAGCATCTTTGTGCTGTGGACAGCAGCCATTGGAGGGATGTTCATAACTGATCACAGTGCTGAGAATGAGACCAAGCTCAGCCAGGCAGTGGTGGCATAGGCCTTTAGCCCCAGCACTTGGGAAGCAGAGGCAGGCAGATCTCCAAATTTGAGGCCAGTCTGGTCTTTAGAGAATGTTCCAGGACAGCCGAGGCTACACAGAGAAACCCTGTCTCAAACCCCACCCCCCTAAAAGAGACTGAGTGCTCAGTTCCAAACAGGATGTCTATATTAAATTCCCCATCACTAAGGCTATATTAAATTCCCCATCACTAATTCCCATCACAGAAGAGGAGGCATAAAGAATGTAAGAGCCAGAGGATGAGGAGTGCTATGAAATGTTGTCTTTTGGACATAATGTGTCTATTGAAATCATGATCTCACAGCAACTATGGCTACCTGCACAAGACCTACACAAGATCAATCCAGCCAAAATCCCAGCATAGATGAAGTAGATGATTGCCAGCTTCCAGTTTATACTCAAGAACTATTGACAGTGGATAGTTGCTGAGGGAGGGAGGTTTTTTTTT